ATCGTATTTTCGAACTGCACTATAGTCTGACCATATACTTCAAAGGTGGAGAATAAAGAATAGTTTTGAATATTATTATTGGTTATTGTGTTGTGCAATATCCATTGGATATTAGTATGCAAATTATTGTTAATGTCCATTAAATATTGGGATACAAACTATAAATTATTAATTGTATCAAAATCACAAATTATTGATACATCTGGCTAATTTGCTATTAACTTATTATAAATGTTAGTCAATTTTATTAATGGCTAGTTGGAGAATTGCTTTTGCGGGTTGACCCGCGACGCAACCGCACCCATCCGCCACCCACCCAAACCAACTCGCATAAGTATGTGGGTGGATTGTGGGTCACATATATTCCAACCCGCTAGTAAGCGGGTGGGTCAATTTTAGATCAAAATCCACCCAACCCGCCCATTGCCCACCCCTAGAATTAAGATCGCGAATTATGTGATCTGAATTTTGCCTATTGATTTTTATTACTGAAAAGATTTTAGCTCTGTCCCCCCACCGAATTTTGGTTCACCTAAAAATTCCCCCTGAAATCCTGCCGGCCGAGTCCGATCTCAGAAACCGCCGGATACTTGAGCCGCAGCTGCTTTCACTCATACCCAGGCTTGATCCAGGCTTTGTTAGGCTTTATGATGGAGATGGGACAAGAAAATGAAAGCAATGGGCCTTTCTCTACATTAATATTCAAATAAGAAAGCCCAAAAACCACATGGGCCTCGATCTACAGGCCATTACAAACCTAAACCTATTGGCCGCTACACCCATATAAAACACCCCCACATCCGTGTGTATATAAAAAAAAATTGGATCCACTACCAAATTTTATACCACCCACGTTTTTAATCCAACCACTAACTGTCAATATGCAAATTTCTCCCACTAACCCATTTATCCCACTTTATAGCATAAAAGGTCACAAACCTATTCACTTTGTACAACATTGTTACAAACCTTTAATTTTGCACGTTTTAGTAACACACGTTTGAGAGAATAACGAAATGGTAATTCCTTCCATCCCCGTCCAAAAAACCGTTAGTTTTGTCCAGTCAGCACGCCACATCACTTAAAATATTAATAAAAAAATTTAATAACAAAATGCAATTGAACCGGACTGCCCAACCAAAAACCCTAACTCTCTACCACCCAAAATCTTGCAGACTAGTTAATAAAAAAAATGTTGGAGGGTTGCCCGCCCAGGACGCGTCGCCGATAGCCAAAAACCAACAAAGGGTCGCCGATAGCTTCTCCTGTCGTCCCCAGAATCGCACCCACGGAACAGTCTCCCGTCGCCGATAGCTTCTCCGGATCGCGTCTCAGGCCAAAACCAACGAAGGGTTGCCGCCCTGGTTGCGTCGCTAATGAGAAGTTTCTGAAAGTCTCCGATCTCATTTTCAATCTTGGCCGCATGGTTCTCAACACCTTTCCCTATTCCATTCAAGAACTCCGGAATCCCTACTTTCACTACAACAGAAATTAACAACAATTAACTGTTCTCCCTTTATGAAACCTAAAGCTCTGAAGCTAACAAAATTCCCAGCTTATCATGAAGCAACCATTCTAACACATTCTCATTCAAGCCCACCGTATCTGCTTTCCCAGACCAATTACCAATGATAGAGAAAACACCCATCAAATATAAAAAAAACCAGAAATTATCTACATCGCTCATCCGGGAAACAATTAGCGAAAGCAATAGACAATTCAGCTGGGAGACTCGATTTGAGCAGGGGAAAGAGGCGGCGACCCTTCGTTGGTTTCGGCCGGCGACGCGACCCGGAGAAGCTATCGGCAACCCTTCAATGGTTTTCGGCTATCGGTGGCGCGACCTGGGAGGTGTCCCTTCGCTGATTCGCTCTGTTGGGTGGTATAGAGTTATGGTTTTCGGTTGGGCAGTCCGGTTCAATTGGGTTTGGTCATCAAATTTGTTATTAATATTTTAAGTGACGTGGCATGCTGACTGGATAAAATTAACGATTTTCTGGATGGAGATGGACGGAATGATCATTTCGTTATTCTCTCAAACATATGTTACTAAAACGTGCAAAATTAAAGGTTTGTGACCGTTTCGTACAAAGTGAATAGGTTTGTGACCGTTTATGCTAATTACCCCACACGTACACCACTACATGCGGCCAAGGGAATCACGTTCAAGTGTGGAACCACTTTCTCTCCTTTATATAATGGAGATACCTGTTACAATTTTCGTTTACTACTTCCCAAACAAAACACTTTGGCTCCAATCACTATTCAATTATCTAATAATTTAACCATTTCAACATTCCAATTGTCCTTTTTTACACATTCACTTTCTATTCTTTCTTTTATTCGACAGGCATGTTAACATTCACGTCACTATTCATCGAGCAAAACGAAGGTGTGAATTTTTTTTGCCTTTTTCTTACTAGAAAGGTACTAACCTTTTTTGTGTTCATGTGAGAACAAATGAATATTTGCATAGTTCGCGTCCATTGAGTAGCTAATTCGTATGCATTTGGTTATCATGTCTTTGAAAATTTAACCTTTTTCGTGACGAAGTAGATGCTGCCCTTTGTTTCGTTTGACAATGACTAAGTACAGAATACAGAGTCGTTTACAAAACAAAATTTTATTATCCAATTAGCACAATTAATTAAATTTTTGTTTACTCATTTGGGACAGTAAAACGTTGTTTGAAGATACATGTTAATAAGATAAGCAATATCTTTCGCATTTATTTTCTCACTTCAATTCTGATCATCATGTTTTGTAAATTAATAACAATTCTTATCACTGTAATTTTATTTACTCATGTGTTTGTGGTTTTATTGTTAAATGGATTTTAGGAGGTTATTCGTTTTCTTCCTCACGAGCAACTAAAATATATCTCAACATCCACTGCCCTCACTTGCATCCTTTGTTAAACCAGTAAGCTTCACAAACCTCTAGCTTTGCAACTTTAATTTCTAATGTGTGTGGTATCTACTCATAGTGGTAATTCTGGTTAATTTATTATCAGGGAAGATGGATCCCAATTTGGATCCAACCATATTGTTGGACCATTGCTATACGAGGAAGCTATAGCCATATCTGAGCCCACCACGGTTCCACAGCTTAATATGATAAAGTTCAATCTGTATAGTACGGTAAGTCACTCAAACTCAACTAAACACCAATTTTTTTAAAACACCGTCATTACCCAATTCAACATTTGCTTCATTTTGGTTATCAATAACACATGTGTCTGTTTTAGGGGACGGTATACATCATGACGGGAAAACTAAAAGCCATTGGTATTTCAACTTCAGTGCACTCTATGGTCAGTGTTGTGCATTTCACCATCAATGATGTAACTGAGGAGCTGGAAGTTGTGTTTCCCTCTGTCAACCTTAGACGCATTGTTGGTGATGTGGTTGCGGAGAGAGATATCAATTGGGACACTAACATCATCGCCATTCTCAACTGCATTCATTCGAAGTATTACCAGTTTGTCATTGAAGTTGGAGCGTGGAACCACATGGTCCGTCACTGTGATTTGGTTTTGCTGAAGATGTTCCCTGCTGCCTTTTAAGGATGGAGTGCTTTTAATGGATTCCTGGACTGTGTTCCTAATTATCAACCACACTAAAACATTTAATAGCAAGTGGTTGGCTAGGCATTTCTCTTCATTCAGCTCTATTTACTACTTCCACCGTACTTTTTTACTCTTATTTGTGATTATCGGATTGTTGGAGCTTAGCCTTTTAGCTTCATGGTTTGGTTTTAAAGCACCCAGTGTGCAGGAGATTAGTTGTAACTGATTTCCGCATCTTTGTTTATAATGGAGAATCACTTATTTATTTGGATTGGTTTGCTGATGTTTTACAAGATGGTAGTTAAGCAGAGAGGGTGTCAGAACTTATGTGCATATGAACCAGGAAATGTTGTCGGGTTTGTGTTACACACTTGATTTTTTTTTAGTCCTGGTTATAATCCAATGTGAATTATTTCTATATGAAACATATTTGTGGACAATTTAGTTACAATCTAACAAATATTGTCAACTTTTAACTATTACATTTACAAAATGAAAAACAAAATTATTTTTTTATTAATTACATTCATTATGATATCACTTTGCTTAGAATGTGTAATTCGATCGGACTGGTCATACCGGTGATGTCATGCTGGTTTTATGACTGGCGCAGTTTGAACCAGGTTGAACCGGGTGACATGCCGCCCGCATGACAATCATAGTCGCATTACATAAAGGCCCATCACAACTGTCTCAAACTGTATTGGGCCTAATGAACAACTCACGTAATTGAGAATGATTATTTCCTAACAATTTGGAGCCCACAAACCTACTTACCTATCCGCCAACCCAGCCCGTTGTCTTCAACCATGGCCTCAACAACCCTGCTTTCTCATCCCTATTTGTTTTGTTCTGGATTTCTATAACCGAGAAGAAAATGGGCAATTAGAAAGTGTCAACCCCTTTCATTCTCTGGGTTTTATTTTTATATTATCACACTTGATTTGCGAGATTTTCTTCTCATTTACCTAAAATTATTATTTTATAAATTAAGCTATATAAAATGATTTAAATTCATGCAGTAGTGACTCGAGATTAATTCATTAATGATACTTTAAGCATGGTTCAGTTTAATAAAATATAGTTAGGGAGGGTTTTGGGATTGCTCAGCCGCCCCTTGAACTCTAAACAACCAAGCTGCTCTACCTTTTCGGCAGATCCTTCTCCACTCCCCCACGAGGCCACGAATCCTTCTTCACTCTCACACTATCCCATTTATCCCACTTTCCACACAAACATACTCCACTGTATGCGGCCAAGTGAATCACGTGTGTAGAATCACTTTCTCTCCTTTATATAATAGAGATACGACTTTCTCTCCTGTTACAATTTTCGTTTACTATTTCCCATACAAAACACTTCGGCTTCAATCACCGTACGAATTGCATTCAATATGGCGGGCCTACCTCAATTCAATCAGTAAGTACTGCTCATGCATCCAACGAATACTACATCATGTAATTTCGATTATTTTTCACTACTTAGTGCCAAAACTTACAGTCCAATATATAGGCTTCCCCATGGTTTTATTGCTAATATGCAATACGATGATGCTGTTGAAATTTGTGAGCGTGCCGACACCATCGATCTCATTATGTTGCAAGTGGATGTCGAAAATCAGGTAACTAAACGAATAAATTTCATTTTAATCGTACGCCTTTTGTGGCATGATGCATTTTCTCAATTTGCTTTGACCATATTCGTTTCTGTGTCAGGGCACCTCTTTTCTGTTATCCGGACGTGTAACGGATTTGACGACGTCATGGTCCCCTGCATCCAGAATCCATTTCGTCCACCTCACAATTGAGGACGATTTCATTGGTGTTGACATCGTCTTCCCGTCATCACAGTTACGAACGATTGTTGGATCTGTATTCAGTCATGCAGATGTTGTCAATTCTGACTATATGGCCCTTCTGAACATGCTTGGAGGACAGACATTTGAAGTCATTGTCATAGTCGGTCCTTGGAACAATGCATTTGGTTATTGTGAACTTGTGTTTGTGAAATTATTTTTGCCTTTGTTGAATTGAGTACCATGTCATGAACAATGAGACAATGTCTTGAGTTTTCCTATTTTGGACTTGCATGTTATTTGTTGTAATACTCAACTAGATTAGATTTATGATTGGTAAAATTTCATGTAAGTATTTTTATCTTGATTAGCTAATCTTCAACTGTATCCTCCTCATCCTTACAATACGTGTGTGAATGGTATGCTTTTTTCCTTAATTAAATAATGACTTTATTTCTAACTTATTGTGAATGTTCATTCAAATTACATGTTCGTCTTCAACGAATTGCAAAATTGCAACAATCTTATGATAATATAAAACAAGACTCATTTCTCGACACTACCATTATAGATATTGTAACTCCATTTTCCTTAAACAATTACAGCCAACAGGCCGGGCTATAGGCTAGTTAATAATAATAGTCATTATAATACTTATTTCATGTTTGCAACCTCCCCGTCGGGCAACGATTAAATTGGGCCACGTAAATTATTTAGGCCTTGATCCTTAGCCCATTTTGGTTTAACTTGTTCGTACGTAGCAATTGATCCAACCGTTCATTTATTAGGTCGAACCGGAACCTAAAAGTTGGGGTGTTACATTTCCTCCACCCTTATAAAAATTCGTCCTCGAAATTTGCTCGAAACTCGTATTTCCTATAATAGCCTTCTTGTATCATCACTGGTATCTCCACCTCGTTTTGTAGCATCGTGCAACTTTGGGTGACTCATTGTGATTTAATTTTGCAGCTTGGCCTGGTCATATGATGAAACAAAATTGTGAGTCGGTTTGACTTGTTGGTCCAACTCACTTGGCAGTTGTTGTTGAACCTAAAAAAATCAAGCTATCACAAAATTGACCAGTTCACGGACGCGTTGGCCAGTTCACGGTCGTGAAAACCTAAACGCGTCGGTGAACTCAGCGTCGTCCAAAACGCAACGCTTCATTGTCCTAGGTTCATGGTCAGTAACTTCAGGAACCTCGCTGGGCGCCTCGATGTTCACGGTCTTAGGAGATCGTGATCTGCCTCATCTGGCCTTGAATTGCGGTTGTTTCTTGAACAACTTCAATTCACTACTTCGGAATTTTCATAAGTTTTTGTGCTTATTACCTCCAAATATCCCAAAACTCGTCCTCGACCCTTCCACACATGCAAGGACCTGAAATGTATCAAAACAAGCTCAACCTAGCGTGAAATATGTCGAGGAACGATGAAATACTAAGCTAAACGAATAAGAAATGAGGGGCAAAATGTGTACATTTACGCCCGAATCCCAGAGCTGGTTCAGACATTGAAGCAGCCTAACACTCTCATTCCAGGCGGAGGCATAGCCGCACCTCCAGTCGCACAATGCCAATGGTTTGAAAGTTCAAACCATTTGGTGGAAGATTTCCAGGCTATGAGGGAATCCACCACCCCCCAGGAGCAGCTGGACTTCATCGCCAATGCTTGGCGCCTTGACCCTTACAGTGGTACTTACAATGAAGGATGGCGCTAGCATCCCAAGTTCTCATGGAATGGCAACAACAACAACAACACCACCAAGCCTCCCAGATTCTCAGCACCAGTTGGTGGCTTTCAGCAAAGGCAGCCTTTACAGTCCCGACAGGCTCCATTTCCATAGCAGTAGCCTTATCAGCTGACTCGCTACGACACAACTCCAAACAAAGGCCAAGTTTAACCAATGAAAGGGACTGCAGTATAGTGGCTCAAGTGATAAATATCGAATCCACGGGTCTCTAGAGTTACTATTACTCAGCTTCAGTTTATTATTTAGCAAACCAGATTAAGATGAAAGAACTAAAACTACTCTAGCAAACTACAATTAAAGTTAATCTAATTACAGGTTGGGAACTCACTTAGGTATGATTCCCCCTAGCCACTAGCCAGACTAACAATTAATGATTTCTAACTTGTTTCACTTTCATTCACAATGCGGAGAATCCTTGACTAGACCTTGAGTCTCGACTAAAGGAACAAGGTCCTCTTGAGTCAATTGCCTAGAGGGACGTATCCTTCTCTAGAACAACTGATCAAGGCGTTCTGAACTAGACTCCCTCTATCGAAAGAGGTTCTCAATCGATACAAAGCAGTGAATCAACCCTCGACTAAAGCAATCGATCCACTACTATAAATCTATGGTGCTCTATTGACCTAATTAGGTATTCCCTCTCATAGGATCAAAGCAGAATCAATAATCTCGACTAAAGCAGAATTGAATCATGAAAACATGCATAGATTGAATATGAACTCAAGATTATCAAGTCAGAGTACTCATACAATCACCCAATCAAACAAACATAGCTAGGGTTCCTCAAAACCTAAGTGAAGGGAAGTTACTCCATAGAGAAGAGAGACACTGCAGTAAGAATCTTCAGATGATTAGTCTTCAAGTCCGGGCTTGTTCCTCGAGCTTCCAAGGCAAAGAAATCCTCCAATTCCACTCCAAGAATGCCCTCAAATCGCCCTCTCTCTCTTTGGTTCGTCCCTTGGGTGTTTGGGATCCAAAACCCAGCTCTCCCTCTCCTTTGGCTCGAATTTGGGTTAAAAAACCCGATTCTGGGCAAAACACGGTCGAGGGCACGACCGTGTTTTGGTTTTGCCCGCCCGTGCTTTGCCCCGTGTTAAAAACACGCCCGCGCGCGTCGGCCAAAACACGGTCGTACCTATATATGGGCACGGCCGTGTTTTAATTTAGGCGCGCCCGTGTTTTTACTGCCGAACCTGTTCCCTATATTCAATGCTTTGTTTCTCCCTCGTCCGGACTCCGAATCAGTCGCCGTTTGATCCCAGACGCTCATAATCTCGTCCTACTTCTTTTAATGAAAAGATTTCATGATTATTTGTCCATAAAGTGAGGTATAAATCCATTCTTCTTCAGGTCATGCCCGAGTTTCTTGTCCCTAATCGTCAATTGATCACTGATTGACTTGAAACTTGCGCCTATGCTTCACTTTATGTGCTAGGACCTGAAATGTGGCAAAGGAACACAACCTAGCGTAAAATAGGCCAAAGACGCGATAATTAAAGCTCAAACGATCAAGAAACAAAGGGGAAAACATGTGCAAATATCGAGTCATCAAATCCCCCCACACTTAACCGTTTGCTTGTCCCCAAGCAAACCTAACTCAAACCAATGCACCTCTCCAGACCTCTATAGCAACATACAACCCTGATCGTCGGTAGAGGATTTCCTAGATCATATAGCAGCTTACGAGGTCAACTGGTCTTCTAAGACGTTCCCTATCTCTCTTAATGCGAGTACTAGACTCAAACCAGGATTATGAGAAGAAGTAGAAGTAAGACAGTCAGTTCATGGATAAAGGGACTCACACCATTCACAACCAAGGACTCGTTGTACCGGGGTTCTCTTTCACTTCATTTCACCGTTGGAACCCCTTTTTCACTTTCATTTTACTTTTTTTCCTTTTTCATTCACTTGGCGGGGGTTCCAACTGCAGTCTTTTGCACGGTCGAACCTTATTAGTCGAGCAAGAGCAATTTCTGTACATCTGGCCCTCGCCAGAGTACTTCTTTTAACTCCTTTTCCTCAACTCGTGTGGAGGGTCAATGAAATTAAGGGGGGTCGGAAGCTCTATCCGTGCCCTTAAAAACACATCCTCAAGTAGGCAAACCGTTCAACGGGTGGAAGTTTTACTTGCACTAGAGACAGCTTAGCTTAACCTTGTAGGAGTACCCCACTAAGGATCACTAAAATCTCTTCCAAAACCCGATTTGGTGCAATGAACGGTGCCGCACACGTTGGGCTTACCCCATGTTTAAGATTTTATGATTTTGACATGGAGGACAACTGCTTTTCATTTTTCACATGAGCACCCTGTTCGATACACGAGTCCATAACACAATCCAAACAGAGTCACCATTACCACATGAATTCAACGGTCTTAGCTCCACTAATTCACAAAATCAACTGGCACAGCAGAGAGCTAGATAGGAAATATCTTATACTTCAACATCCTCCATAGTGCTACACTACCTCCCTAGGTTGCACATTACTATAGACACTGTCAATTCAAAGCATACTGAGCAGGCAATTTGCAAGGAAACACGTACTTGGAGCCCTCAAATTTAAAAATTTGGACAGTGGACTAGGCTCCAAGCACACAAACAGCCAAACACAAAAATTTGGACAGTGGACTGGGCTCCAAGGACACAAACAGCCAAACATTCACCCGCATACATAATCGAACATCCCCCCACACTTAAGCATGACATTGTCCTCAATGGAGGAAAGTTAAGGAGGGTAGAATGAAGTTACCAGATCCAGGGTGAATGATGGTGGACGGGGCAGGCGATGTATTCTAGGAGGAGAGAGTGGTCAGACCACAAACACCACACAAAATCTCACAAAGGTTGAGTTATTGACTCTAAAATCAAATAACAAAACTGACTCAACCGAGGAGAAAAAGAGAAAGAAATGCAAACCGACTAGTTGGGTTGTCTCCGAACAAGCGCTTCTTTCACGTCGTGAGCTGGACGATGGCTCCTAAGTTTCGGTCCACCCCAAAACCTCCTTGAAGTTGAGGTTCTCGTCAATGAGGTGGAGTCTCAAGTCACGAGCATGCTGTATGATAGGTGATGGAAGCTCGTGCACTTGATGCAGATGAAGTCTCCACCCTCGAGACCTCTTCTTCTCTTCTCTCGTCTCATTGCCACAAACCAGATATGACAGCATCAATTGACCACCATCGCGTCCACCAAGAGGGACCGATGTTGACGTGACCTTGGTATGGCAAAGAGACACTGCAAATGGATCCTTGCTAAGTAGTTCCTCGAAGTTTGGTGGAGATATCAAATGTAACTCATGGCCGGTGCAAGCCTCTTCCACCTCAACTTCGTCCTCAGCCTGGACGCCAATTTGCTTCTTCAACCTCCCTTCCTTGTTCATGTGGTGTCACCCCTGGGAAATGATCAAGACTCCTCCTGCTTCACTTTCGTCATCCTCCACAACTTCTTTCTGCACCCTTTCTTGCTCTTCTTCTTCTAGCATGGAAAG